AGAGAGGAGCGAACCAGGGCGGTGGGGTGGGACAGATGGGCGGGGAGAGAAGTGCAGCAATGAATGAATGGAAATTCAAAATCTATGTAAATGCTCATTAAAATTAGCCGTCCTCCTTGCCAACAGAAGTCCCAGTCCTGCCCTCCTCCCCCTCCACTATTAACACCCCAGGTCCTACGTTAGGTGCAGGGATGTGCGGTCATTGCGCTGCCTCGGCACACAGCACCGGCTGAACAAGGGCTCCTGCCCGTCCACTGTGGACACTAAGATGGTCCAGCGTCCTCCTTAGGGCATCTGGGCCACAGCAGGTGCGGTGCTAAAGAGCACCCAGGTCCCAAGGGCGAGGTATAGCTCTGTGGGCAGGGCAGGCGTCCCTTGCTCCTGATCCTGGACACAGGAGACGGGCTGGCAAATGAGCTCAGACCCAGCCGTCGGCGTCCTGCTCGCCCGCTGCTCTGCACAGAGTTGCTCTCATCCCAATACCAACACCATGCCCCACACAACTCACCCAGGTTCCCTAGGCAATAAACTCATGGAAGGGTCAAGGTTCACATCTGCCAGTCACTGCAGGACAAAGACAGGGGTCTCCTCCAGTCAAGATGTGAGCTGGGAGTCACCTGGCCTTCCTCCACAGAGCAACTGGATGGTCCGCACCTTCCAGTCAGCAGCAAAGCGCTTAACCTCTGCTCCACCAGGGCTCCTTCTATGACAGGTCACTGGATAGAGGTCCCCATGAACAGACACTCTGCATGGTAGGCACACGCTAACACAGGCCTGGGCCCACTGTGGGGAACCAGACACCCCAACGCCATCCTGCACCAGATGTGGGATTCAGGGAGCCCACCTGGAGCACTAGGCTCGGGCTGGGGCCGGTCACAGCACCCAGCCCCACCCAGGTGCCACAGCAGAGCCTCAGATCCCAGATATCTGATGTTCTCCTAGGGCCCCAGCTGCCAATTTAAGAACTCAAGTTAGACGCGTTTCCTTTTTATTTTTTTAATATCATTCATACAAAAGCAATAGAAACTTAACAGTCTTAACAAGAAGTTTACAATCAAATATATGAACAGAAAATCTGTACACATTATCATTTACAGCAATTTTACAAGGTAAATTAATGGTTAAAAAAAACACAACAACACACAACAGCTGTTTTTATTCCCTCCCACTGCTTCAATTCTTGGGCTATTCTAGCGGAAACGCCCACCCAGCCAGCACTATCTACGTACAGAAGGAGAGGGCGTAGACAAGTCGCTGCGAGCACCACTGCCGGGCTGGGGACGCGGGCTGGGGACGTCAGGACACAAAGTTACCCAAGGCTGTTAAAGGTCTCCAGTTCCCAAAATACTGTCAGACACCAGTAAAGAAAAGCCAACTGGACTGCTTCAAGACGCTACCTGGTCAATTCAGAAACGGCCCTTCTCCCCATGGGACCCCCACCCTGTAAACACTGCTGCCAGCCAGTCGGGGCACCCCTGGCAGCTTCACCTGCAGGTGGATGTGGAGAAGAGAGTTCAGAGCTTAAAGACCACCTCAAGTCCAGTTGTTCTCGGATCTGGGTCCCTTTATAATTTCAAACATGCAAAACAATTGTACATCGAAGGATGCCCGGGCACACTGGGGATTGAGATTGTGCTCATGCAGAACAGCCAGAGAATGCAAAGTATGGGCAAGTTACAATTCAGGGTGACGTCAAATTCCCTTCTGAGCTGAAGTGCCAAATTTTACCCACTGACTGCTCCCCGAGAACCAAAAGCTGACTGGACAGCTGAGCCGCGTGGGCAGAGACCAGTGTGTGGACCACAAAGGGCTTCCTGGAGCAGTGGGTGCTAAGTCTCTGGCGAGAGGGAGAGCCCGGGGGTGGAAGCCCGCCCTTTCCTGTGACCACTGCAGGTCTAAACACAGGGCCATGTGCCCGTAACAACTGCCAGGAATTCCAGTCACGTCCAAGCCCTGGCCGCTCTGCTCCTGAGCAGAGCAGGTCACGATTCAGTACAAAGAACAACACAGGTGTCACGTACTATTTACAAGGCATCATAGAAAACACGAAACTGGTAAGGGTGTGCTGCTGTGAGCACAGAAACACTCAGAAGTGTGACCAATGGATGGGCATCAGCCCCGCAGGGCAGAGGGCGACGGGCCCTTGTGACATGTTTCTGGATGACTTTCCTCAACAGAGCTGCTCTTTCATTTTAAAAGGGCGTCTATCCAAATGTGAGCCCACAAATGAGAAGGTAACACCATGACAGCTTTCCAATTAAAACCAAGGCTCCCGTGAAGCTGAGGATCAGCTTTTGGAAAAGCGTAGCCAAGCTGCACAGGGACATGTTCTGGTATGTGTTTTCAAAATTAAAACAAAAACTCCCAAAGTTTTATTACTTAAAAAAAAAAAAGGTCCCTATCTTTACACCGATGGAACGTCGTAGATCACACCTGCGCAGGCTTTCCGACCAACATTCCTGCGACACTGTCCCACCAGAATCACAACCTCACAGAGACAAATGCCAACTCCAGATGAGGGAACATTCTGCACGCAAACTAGCCTGCATGCTTGAAAAAAGGAAACGTCTTAGCAGAGAAGGGCAGCGGACTGCTCTGGGTTCAAAGAAACAGAGACAGCAATCAGCTGTGACCCTGATCCTCCACGGACGCCAGGAACGAGGCCGGGGGACAGCTGCGCTGGGACATTACTGGGACAGCCGGGAGACGGGGATCTGGCCTGTTCCTGAGACCACTTCACCCCCCGGGCAGGGGGGCCATGCCTCTGCAGGACGGCAGTGTTTGGCCAGCGCTGTGTTTCCCGAGCAGGGCAGGTGGATGGTGCCATCGTCCAGAACATCCTGAATCTTAGAGATGAAAGCACAAGTGTTCAAGCTGGAGGTCCCCCCCTTCCTGGCGGTGAGCACAGGGGAGCTTGAGCATGAAGTACTACAGACGGGACATGCCCATCACAGGTCCCACCACCCAGGCCAGCGGGCTAGCCCACCCTCAGCAGGTCCGCTTTCAGAGGACCCCTGCCCCAGAATCACAACCTCACAGAGACAAACGCCAACTCCAGATGAGGGAACACTGCACACAAACTAGCCTGCACGCTTGAAAAAAGGAAACATCTTAGCAGGGAAAGGCAGCAGACTGCTCTGGGTTCAAAGAAACAGAGACAGCAATCAGCTGTGACCCTGATCCTCCAGGGACGCCAGCTCCCCAGCTACCGGGAAATGAGTCCCTTTCTGTAGCCGTGGTTCTTTTGAAATACAGCTTAGGAGACGTCCCCCTAGAGCCTAAGAATTACGTTGGCTGAGTTTATTACACTTATAGAAGGTGGCTGGCATTCTCCGGGCAAGCTGTAAGCTTGACTGTTCCTTTGGGCTGGCCCTGGGCTATCCTGATGAGGATGCATCTTTAAGAGATTGGGAGACATCGATGCAAATGAAGCCAATGGATTATGTCATTTACACAGCCCAGCCTGAGGCGAGTTCAAGTCCATGCCTTCAGACAGACAAGTTTATGCATCTGCGCAGCTAGTCCGACAGGCGTTTTTTACACTCACACACACACACAAAGAAAGAGGGAGGCAAGGAGCTTTGAACATAGGTCAGGGGCTGGTAACACAAGACAGTAACAGGCCTGGGTGGGTCCCAGGGCGAGGAAGTCAGAGGCCTGTACAAGGAGCTGGTCCTGAGGGGGATGAGACGCAGCCTACAGATGAAGGGGGTGCACACGGTGGCTCCCCCGCTCTGCAGGGCTGGGACACCGCCTACACATTTCCTGATCCCAAATAAACTTCCTAACAAACCATCTGACTGCTGGATGGCCACTGAACTGACCAGTAAAGCCAGAAGAGCAGATGGCCAGTGGCAGGATTGAGAGCGGAGTGGTCTGCTCTCCACACTACAGGGACGTTCATCCTGAAGGTAGGAAGGTTCTCACACCACTAGGCTCACCTGGCTAGGCCCCGCCCACTCAGTCTCCTCCCCCAGACCCTTCCCTAGGGCCACACAGCCACTGAGAACTGGGACTATGGAGGACAAGTTCACAATCTGTCTACGGGTCATGCATTGTTTTTAAATTACCTCAACAATTTTAGTTTGAGGACTAACTCAAGGTGCGCCTGACTCAGACCAGGGTCTTTTCAATCACTTGCTATTATGCTGCTGAGGGCAGGACACGGAATGAGAGAAGAAACACTGACGCCTTTGCAGCGTGATACTGGAGAATACAGAATATCCCATGGATGGCCAAACAGATCTGTCTTAGGGAAGGTGCAGCTGGAGTGCTCCCTGGAGGCAAGGACGGCAATCATACTTCAGGCACGCTGCTGGGCGAGGCTGCTCCTCAGAGGAGGACATGCTTGGAAAGGTAGGAGGACAGCAGAGGAGGAGGATGACCCTCAACCAGGTGGACTGACCATGACTGCAGCAAGGGGCTGGAGGGTGTCAGAGATTATGAGGCCGGCACAGGACAGGGCAGTGGTCAGATCTGTTGTTCACAGGGCCACTATGACTTGTACGTGACTTGACTCCTGATCTAAATCAAGGATAGTCCCTTGTTCGGATCCTGATAGGTTTCCTGTCCTGTGTGCAAAACTTATCAACTATCTTTCTCTAATTTCTCCATGTAATGGGAAATCTTCCCCATGTTTTCAAACGGCAGTCTGGCATGGTGTGTGTGCTGTGTTGCTGAGGAGGTGAGGCTTCTGCTGATCCTCCACAGCTGGGCAGTCAGGTGACTGCAGTCACAAGCAGAAGCAGTGAGGTGTGTGAGCAGTTACCACAAGTAGCAGCACACACCTCAGTTCTCCAGACAAAAGGCAGGCAGGGCGAGGGGACGGGACCTGTATCTCACACGCTTCTTAACTGCTCTGAACACGGTACACTCACTGCTCCTTCAGTGTGGAGATCACGTAAGGAACTGCATTTTTCTGACTGAACTTGAGCTTCAGGTGTCACTCGCAAGCGGCACGTCTACAGGAGCCTGGCACACCACTGCAGAAGCAGGGAGGTACTTACCAAGTTGTCCTGCGAGCTGGTCTGGGATTCTGAGCTGCTTTCTGCTGACTCAGTCTCCATTTCACTCAGGTCGACAGGCTGTCTGTTTAAAGGAAAAGAACCACATTCAGCCCATGAGAGCAGAACCTGAAGACGTGCTACAGAGAAGTTCTCCAGGATCCCACGCTCAAAACACCACCAGAACATCATGTGATCCCACGTAGGAACCCCCCTGAGGGAGGGGGCATATCCACTAGACATCCCTCCTGCCAGGCAAGCAGCCCCACGGGCTCACCGGAGACAACTCGTGGGAGGCCAAACCTGTCAACCCAGTTAGAAAGCATGTCAGCCATGCTGGCCCAGAGCAAGCTCAGCTTGTCACCCAACTCACTGCACCTCACTGAGGAAGGGGGTTCAAGACAAAGGAACCACCACGCCCAGGAGGACAAGGCTTCTCCCCACCTCCCACCAACAGGGAATGCAGACTTCCAGAAAAATGGAGGCCGGGGACGTTTTCAACTAGGCAGATGTTTAAAACAGAAAAAACACAAAAACCTTTCTTTCATAAACACCCTTCAACTTTGAAATCACTCCTGAACAAAGAATGCCATTCACAAAAGGACAGCTCCTGGATGAACTCACTCGCATGATACGCACAGCCGAGCTGCTGTTGCTGCCATGGTCAGAACATACCCCTAGCAGACCCTCCAGCAGGTTTTCAGAGGTCGTAAACCACATGGGAGGAGGCTGCCCACCTTTCTCCAAAGGAGCAGCTAGGGGATTTGAACTGTGTGCCTTTGGAATTGCAGCACAGCCTCTTTGCACTAGGCCACCAGAGCTCAGCAAAGAAAAAGAGTGGTTACCAAACGACTGTGGGAGGATGGAGAGGTAAGATCTCGCAGAGAGGACGCAGAGCTGAACGCCGCAGGACCTTGTAAAAGGACAGGAAGGACGGCTGTACAATTCAAAACACGGAACAGCCAACACATGACACACCGAGAAACGACCAAATTGGAGTAATTTGTGCTCCACACAATTTCACAATCACAGTTCAACACAAATGACAAGTACGGGTCCGCCAGCAGCCTGATACCACGGCTCCGACCTCCCACAGGCCTCACTACCGCGTGCCCTGCGCACAGAGCTCTCAGACGCGCTCCGCTGCAGGGAAGAACTACCATGTCCTAGAGACGTACAGGTCCTTCAGGTCACAGCCCTCCTCGGCAGGAGGGTCCCAGAAGTGCAGCGCCACCTTCCACAGTCGGATCTGCTGATCCCACGACCGCCGGCTGTACTTCTTAAACTTGTTCGGGGTCTTGGGGTGAATGCCAGGCTGTCTGAGATGTCTGCAGAAGAAAGCAAGACGTCTGCATGTGGAGGCGGGAGCTCTAAAACTAAGGCGAGCCCACCCAGGAGACTCCAACATCACAGATCATGGAACGTGCGCACAAGAAACCAACACGTCAAAAATGTGACCTGTTTCCCAGGTCTTTCTACATGTCAGAAAGTGAAATATTGAACCCCGATTCTACCACGAAGTTGGTGAGCATGTAGTTTTTTCACCCTTTTGTGCAGCAGACACTACCTACACCAGAGTGATGCCACGTGTCTCCAGTGTGGTCTTTACATTCCTGGACGTCACCTTTACCTTTTCACCCTATTGTGTATTTCAAGAACTTTGTGTCAATAAGCTCACCAAGTACTGAGAAACCAATCATTATCTAACAGTCAAAACTACAGAAATGTCTTTTTTGTCCAATGAAATACTTTTTTTTAATTTCCATTAATTCACTGTTGCACATAAAAATGTCAATTTTTAAAAAAAAATTTTATTATTTTTTTTGTGCGTGTGTACCACCATCAAATTGGATCTGACTGGTACAGAGAATGTCAATTTTAAGCCTCACATCTTTGGCTTTCAATCATCAACTGTGAATGTCTGTTCACATCATAAACTATTGAAAAGTCACTGGCTGTCAGGGTTCTTGAAGCAACAGATCCCTGCAGGTGAGTGGACTCCAATCAGAGCCACCAGGACAGTGCAGAACTGCCCACAGGACTCCCAGGCTGTCGCCTTCAGGAGCAGACCACTGGGTCCTCTCTCCCTCAACGTAGCTGGAGGGCTCAAAGCAACCACTGTGCAGTCCGCAGACAGACAAATACGTAACCCGCTTGGGACCCCTCTCCCTAAATGGGAGTCCCCAGGGAAGGCCCACACCCGAGGGCGTGTCCAGGTGGGCACACGGGGCCAAAGCTACCTGGGCACTTCTTTGATGTAGCGGTCATAAGCGATGGTGTTCTTGCCGTAGTTAATCTGCTTCTGTCTCCTCATCAGCACGCTCTCATCCGTTTCCAGGTCAGCCGGCACCAAGGACACGGACTCCTTTGAGTCAGAACTGAAGACCAGAGCCAGACAGACAAGCCTTGCTGTTACAGCCACTACATAAGCTGACCCAAGCAAATAGAGACACAGAGTAACGGGTCCCAAATGAGGTCAACCCCACAACAGGCCAGAATCCTCCCCTGTGGGACCCAAGGACACAAAAGAAACAATACTGCACACAGCAAGGACAGACTCCTCTGAGTGCTTCTGGAATGGCCAGCGTCCACCTCCCACACTCCCAGTTACACTTGATAACCAGGGACGGGTCCACAAATCAGAAAGCCCAGGCACTCACCTTCCTGAGGATGACCTCCTCTCTCTGCCAAAGTCGTTGACGAGAAGTTTCCTTTTATATCTGAAAGCAGAGGATGCGCTGCTGTTCACAAAGTACAAACCCCACCACAGCCCATGGTGCTAGGAAGCAGCCACCACCGACCAGGAACATAACTTCCTGCCCTCCTCCTGTGCCCACGTGAGGCCGTGGCCCGAGGTTAGCGAGCAGCTTCTTCTCCTTCAACCTCCTGCAGTTGTCAGCTTTGCACAAGGCGAAGATAAAGCAGCAGCGAGATGTTTATGTCACAAGAATTTAACAGCCTTCTGAAGGGAAAAACGTGCTTGAGAGCAAAGTTCCTATGTCTTCAACAACCAGTCCACGGCTGTGTGTGCCCACAGCTTGTCTACCTGGGAGAGACCCAGCTCCACCTGGGAGACCTGCATGCCACCGTCAGCTCTGCCTCCTGCCGGTCATGCCTGCCCTGCAGCTGGCTGCTCCGCATAGCGGCCACTCTGATTCCACTCTGCTCTGCTGGGTCACTGCAGGGTGGAATCTGGGAACACCCTGCACCCAGCGGTCTAAGCAGTGTGCGGAAAATGCCCCGTATCACCACCCAGCTCTTCTCACCAAGTCCAAAAATCGCTAAGGCACCCCCCAGTTTGCTGGGGTGTGCATCATGTCCACAGCAAAGGCTGGATAATTGGAGGTAATGGATTAACAGATCTCTCCTCTTCCAGAAGTCTGCTGAGAAGTCAGTATGATGAACTACCACCAGCTTGGTTACTCTGGACCCAAGATCAAGAAAACTCTCTCTACAAAAGGACCTCACGGCCAGGGAAGCTCCAACAGCCAGAACAATGGACCTGAATCATCGAGAAGCATCAAGACTGGGCATCACTGACACACACACAAGGTCACGAAGCAGGAGCATCAGCTTCCTGTGAGAGCTGCACAGACAGCCCTGAGGTACTTCCTCAAGGGCGTCCTCTCCCCTGCGCCTGGGCAAAGAGCAGCTGCAAATACAACCCTTTTATTTCCAAGTACTCATACACTGCTGGCTTCGAAACTTTTACTAAGTTAGTCTCACACTCCCTTGTTGGCAAGAAACTCCAACACTGCCGTGGAAAGGGCACACAGGTGGGGCCAGAGTTCAAATCACCAACCAACTCTGTAGCTTTCCAAGACAGAACAGTCCACCCGCAGAACCCCAGACTGAGGGAAAGGGCTATGAGAAGACCCGATGAACAGCAAAGCATTAGATACTAGGTCATGAGAGTTCTGCTAGATTATCTATCTATGTGGGAGCTCTGGTGGCCCAAGGGTAAGAAGCTGCATTGCACACACACACACACACACACACACACACACACACGTGCTGTATACTATGGGTTGAAACCAACCCAGGGTGACCTCTGACAGGCTGTCAAAGCAGATAATCACACAGGAGGAGACAGCTCATCTTTCTCCCTCAGAAAAGCTGGTGGATTAGAACACAAGACCTCTGGGAACGCTGTGCAGCTTCTTACCACCGGCCTCCAGAGCTCCCTGTGTATGTTGTTGTGTATCATAGAGTTGGCACCGACCCATAGCTGACCCTCTGGCAGGTTCTCAGAGGCAGTTAATCACACGGGAGGAGACTGCCCATCCTCCCACAAAGCAGCACGTGGACTCGCGTGCCTTTGGGATTGCAGGACACCTTCGTGCCACTAGGCCACCAGAGCTTCTGATGTTATTTATATACATACACAACATAAGTAAGACCACCACTGTTACTGTGTGCAGAGGCAGTAAGTCACACAGTGCAAATAACTCTCAGAACACACTGGGGCCACACCAGTCGCTCTGCTCAGGTTTACAACAAGCAGGCTACCCAGCTGCTCTGGGCATTCTGATACTGAATCAGAGTGGACTTGCTGAATGCCAGCAGCAATTCCCTTGTGCACCTCTTCCTCCAAAGGAGGCCCTGGAGCAGCCACAGTGCCTGCTGGGAGCCACCGTCAGCACCTAGGGAGACACTTCCTCGTCGAGGACCAACCAGCAAAAGCCCCACTCCTCTGGAGTGACCTCACTCGAAGGACACCATGTCAGCACTCAGTCTGCAGGCAGCACATACTGAGAGGGACAAGGGACCAGACACTGCAGGAAGACAAAACTCAGAGGTCTCTTTGTTTCTGCTTTGTCCCCACTGCCTGTGCCCTCATTTCCCAGGCACCACCCCTGGTGCAGACTTTTCTAAAGAAGCCTGTTGTTGTTTTGTGCCGTCGAGTCATTTGTGACTCATAGTGACCCTATGTACAACAGCCCTAAACCCTGCTCTGTCCTGTGCCAATCGCATTGCCTCCTACACACCCATCCCAATTATCCCAGTCACTGAATCAATCCACCTCATAGAGGGTCTTCCCCTCCAGCGCTGTCCCTCCACCCTACCAAGCATGATGTCCTTCTCCAAGGACCTGTCTCTCCTTACAACATGTCCAAAGTATGTCAGACGAAGCCCCAGAATCCTTGCCTCCAAGGAGTTGTTTGGTTTAATCCTCTCCAGGATGAATTTGTTTTCCTAGCAGTCCATGGTACATTCAATACTCTTCTCCAGCACCACAGCTCAAAGGCATCAATTCTCCTTCTATCCTCCCTAGTCACTGTCCAGCTCTCTGATGCATAACAAGTGATTGCAAAGACCATGGCCGGTATCAGGCGCACCTTAGTCTCCAGAGAGACACCGTTGCTCTTGAGTACTTTAGAGAGGTCCTTAACCGCAGACTTTCCCATCGCAATACGTTTTTTGAGTTCCTGGATACTGGTGCCAAGAGTGTTGACTGTGGAGCCGAGCAAACTGAAGCTGTGAACAATCTCAATCTCTTCGCCATCCATCCCGACGCTGCCAATTAGCCCAGTGGTGAGAATCTTTGTTTTTTTAAATTTATTTTATTTCATTATTTTTTGTGTGTGTACTGTCAAATCAGATCTGACTGGTACAGGAGGAGATTGTTCCTCCTTCTCCAGCAGAGCATCTGGTGGATTCGAACCGTGCATCTCTGAAATCTTTGTCTTCTTGACATTGAGCCTCAGTCCATACATACTGAAGGCTGCAGTCCTTGACCCTTCGCAGCAAGTGCATGAGGTCCTCAGTTTCAGCAAGCAGGGTTGTGTCATCTGCATAACGCAGATTGTTAGTAGATCTTCCACCAATCCTGATGCCACAATTCTCCTCATAGAGCCCAGCCTCTCGGATAATCTGCTCTGCATACATGTTGAAAAGGTATGGAGACAGGATGCATCCCTGGCGTACACCCTTCCCAATTTTGAACCATGCAATGTTACCCTGCTCTGTTCTGACTACTGCCTCTTGGTCCAAGTATAGGTTTCGCATTAGCACAATTAAATGTTCTGGGATTCCCATTCTTCTCAGAGTCAGCCACAGTTTGTTATGATCCACACAGTCAAATGCCTTTGCATAATCAATGAAACACAGATAGACATTCTTCTGGTATTCTCTGCTTTCAGCCAAGATCCATCTAACATCACCAACAATATCCCTAGTACCACGACCCCTTCTAAACCCAGCCTGGACTTCTGGCAGTTCTCTGCTGATGGACTGCTCCAGTCATTTTTGGATAATCTTCAGGAGAATCTTGCTTGCATGTGAAATCAATGATATTATTCTGTAGTTTCCACACTCAGTTGGGTCACGAAGGAAAGAAGCCTAGAGAGGTTTAAAGCTTATCTAGAAAGTTCCACTTCATCCAGGTGACTATGAAGCCCTGGATTCCTCCAACACTTGTGAACCCAGTGACAAGGGTGCTGGGCGACCCTTCCTTACGTCTCAGCATTTCCAAGATGTTACTAAGAGCGTGCCCCCCTTATCGAACTCAACACAAATTGCTCACAGCTGGTGAGAGCTCACGCAGTCCCCCAGATCCGCAGCACTCCTGACCTGCACCTGCTCTCCAAAGAACTGCCTGTCTTTAAATACTGGGGGCAGAGTCACCTGGACGGCTTCTTTTTCAAGATTGCTGGGCCTGCAGTTCCTCATTCAAGGTGGGGCTGTGGGCAGTAATATCCCTAACTAGTTTCTGGAGAATGTTGATACTGGTCTAGGGTAAAGAGTTCACCTCCACTTCTAACCAGTATCATTAAAGGAGCTAAGACATTCAGCCACTCTTGTACAGATTATACCTTGCAATTTCTTTATTAACTCGGGTTCTCATTTCATCTTCCTCGACAGCACTTCCCCAGTCTGTACATCGGGAACGGGGCTTCGGGCCTTCGGGCGTGGTGAAGCTGCAAAAAAAGACAGATAGGTTGTGAGCCAAGGCCATACCTTCAGTGGAATTTACAACAGGAGCGAGGAGGCACTGTGGAGAGGTACCAGAAGCCCAGGCTTCGCCGTCCACAGCTTCAGGAGAACCTCGGAAGCCTTGCTGGACTCCAGCTGACAAGCATGCAAACATTCCCTAAACAGAGGACACAGTGGCGGGAGAGATCGGCAGGAAAGCTAAGATTATCACAGGTGCCATCTGCAAATCCAGGGTCTTTCCCCCGAGACTGTTGAAGGTGGAAAACCTTCTGGTGCTGAGTCCCGGCACGCAGTAGCAGACCACAGTGAGGTTCATGCCCAGGAGCTGCAGTCCACCCTCAGGTGCCCACAATCACTGATTCAGGGCATCTCGCTGTGTAATGGCAGCATGGGCAGTGAGCACAGACACCAGATCCCGGACACGTCAGAAATGCTCCTCAGGGGCCCCTGCAGCTGCCACCCAGCAGCTTTCACCTCACAGTGACCCTGCAAGAGAACTGCCCTGGAGCGTAACCGTCACAGAAGCTCACTGCCAGGCCTTTCCTACGGGGCAGGCAAGTGAGTTCAGATGCCAGCTTTTCAGTTAGTGCTCCTTAAATGGACCCTGGATTAAGGGCTGCGGCTGGACTCGTCACAGCTGGGCTGCTGTCACTTCCCCAGAGCCAGTCAGCAGGACTCGGGGTCCCACTCTCCAAAGCAGACCATTTGCTACCCACCAAGGGGCACCCCCAGAACACTGCTCCCAAGAAGATGGGGTCCCCTCCACAGCAGGGAGTGAGGGAGGTGCTATCAGCCTCCCTCACTCTCTTCCAGACCATTCCTCCTCTCTTCACGCTCACATCACCTACAGGCCAACAACCCTCCTGGTTGTGAGATGTTACCCCATCACCAACCCCGCAATCCACTCAGCGGCACTCCTGCCCTGAATCAGGTCAGTCTTGTGACGGGTTCCTGTACCCTCACGCCAATTCCTGAACCTGGAGCTGAGGAGGTGGTGACGGGAGCTGAGCTCTCCATCATCAGCGGAAACTCAAGTGGGAGAAATGAAGGAATGAAGTGGGGTGGCACCAGAGGAAGCAGTACGAAGTGATGGGCATGCACACCCATGTTTACTGCAGCTTTGTTCACAACAGCAAAGAGCTGGAAACAACCCAACTGCCCATCAACAAAGGAAGGAATAGAGAGGCTGCGGTATATTCACACAATGGAATACTACACTGCATTGAAAAACAAGGAAATCATGAAATATTATACAAAATTGGGTGACCCTGGAGAACATTATGCAGAGTGAAATATCTCAGTCACAAAAGGACAAATACCACATAGTGTCACTGCTATAGAACAGGACTGACATCAGGTTTGGGAGGAAACTGAGAAGAGAGGGAATAAATAATGTATACTGCATTGAAACAGATGAGGAAGAGACCTGTTTAAAAGGGATATTCTTCGTTATGTGCCATCGAGTAGTTTGCGACTCATAGCGACCCTATGTACAAGAGCTCTAAAAGCTGTTCTAGCCTGTGCCAACCTCGCTGTCTCAAACACACTCATTCCCACCACTCCACTCAAAGAATCGATCCATCTCATCGAGGGTCTTCCTCTCCTGCGCCATACCTCCACTCTCCCAAACACGATGTCCCTCTCCAAGCACCAGTCCCTCCTTGCAACATGCCCAAAGTATGTCAGACAAAGCTTCAGAAGCCTTGACTCCAAGGAGCAGCCTGGCTTAACCCTCTCTAGAACAAACCTGTTTGTTCTCCTAGCAGTTCCTGGTATATTCAACACTCTTCTCTAGCACCACAGCTCAAAGGCATCAATTCTCTATCAACCCTAGTCACTGTCCAACTCTCCGATGCATAGCACGTAATTGCAAAGACTATAGCCTGGATCAGGCGCACCTTAGTCTCCAGTCTGACATCATTGCTCTTCAGTACTCTTGCGAGGTTCCTCGCAGCTGACTTTCCCCATGCAATTCGTCTCCTGATTTCCTGGCTGCTGTTACCAAGAGTGTTGACTGTGGAACCAAGCAAACTAAAACTGTTAACTATCTCAATCTCTTCTCCACCATCCATACTGATGCTGCCAATTGGCCCAGTGGTGAGAATCTTTGTTTTCTTGATATTAAGCTTCAATCCATATTGAAGACTGCAGTCCTTGACCTTCTGCAGCAAGAGCTTCAGGTCCTCCTCAGTTTCAGCGAGCAGGGTTGTGTCATCTGCATAACACAGGTTGTTGATGATTCTTCCACCAATCCTGTTGCCACATTCCTCCTCGTACAGGCCAGCATCTCAGATGATCTGTTCTGCATACAGACTGAAAAGGTATGGAGACAAAATACATCCCTGAAGGACCCTTTTCTTGATTTTGAACCATCCAATGTCTCCCTGCTCTGTTCTGACGACTGCCTCTTGGTCCAAGTATAGGTTTCACATTAGCACGATCAAATATTCTGGGATTCCCATTCTTCTCAGAGTCAGCCACAGTCTGTTGTGATCCACACAGTCAAAAACCTTTGCATAGTCAATGAAAAGGGATATATGATGAGGTATTATTTGTGAGTCCAGAATAAGAGTTGCTATAGTAAAGTGGACTTTGGTGGGGGGGAATTGTTACCAATGAATTTCTTTTTTTCCTTCTCAAAGAGAAAAGCAAACTGAGGGGAAGGAGGAGTGGGCAGGGAGGAAAATGTGCAACAGTGAATGAATGGAAATCCAAGTTCTCTATAACCTTTCATTAAGAAAAAAGTGACTGGCATCCGTGGGGTGGGCTCTCTGGCAGGCTGAGATGGGGGCACAAGTCTCTCACACACATGGACAAAAACCTCAAGGCCACTGTGACCCTGCCAACCCCTGACCACTGGGGACCCCAGGACCATCTCAGCTGTCCTCCTTCCAGCTGAACCCTGGTGGCATGCTGCTGCTGTCTCCCTTCAACTCTGAGCAGACCCACAGCTGGCTGTCCATCAGGTCTTCAGAGGCAGCAAATCAGCAGGGAGGAGACCGTCCAGCCTTCTTCCAAGGAGCAGCTCGTGGATTTGAACCGAAGGCCTTCAGGACTGCAGTGCGGCTTATCACCACGAGGCCACCAGCTCTCAGTGGGCAGCATAGGCAGCTGTTGACCAAAAGGTCAGCGGTCTGGGACCTACCAGTGGTTCCGTGGAAGATGGGCGATTTCCTCCCGAGGAAGCCCAGGAAATGGAAGCCAGGGTCACTAGGAGCCACAACCAAGTGGACAGCACCCTTGCAGAAGACCACCAGGCCTTTCCTCTGCGGCACCACCGGGTGGGGTCAAGCTGGGCACCTTTAGGCCATGGCTGCTGGGCACAAACCAAGCCCCAGGGCCCAGCCACTAAGTGGGAACCGGGCTCCTTCCACCTGGAAGTGCTTCTTCCTGCTCCGCAGGTCACGAGGCCATGTAAGTGACTGCTGGACACGGGCCTGCCCCTGCCCGTGGGTGCTCTGATGCTCGCACCCCAAGAGGCTACCTTTTCATATTTCATAAGAGGGAGTGGAGAAAGGGGCGTATGGGGGTGAGATAAGATATGGGGGGGCTACGGGCCTCTTCAAAACCCTCATGAGTAAGAGGGGGTCCAAAGGGCTCGCCGTTTTCCTACTAGGTCCACCTGCAGCGGCAGCGGAAGAGAAGCGTGACCACCTGTGTCCCCGTCCTGTGTCCACCCTGCCGGCCCTGCG